AAAGAATTACACAACTGGATACTGCCATAGGAAGGGATAAATAATATTATAACCAAATCAATAGATTTGTGTGAGACGGAATTTTTGATCTCACACTACCCACTTTTGTCAATTATAATTGTCCGAGGTCCTGATCTTGATATTTAATATGTTTTACATAAAAAAAACAAATTATTGATTACTACATACAATCAGAAAATATATTTTTAATATATACTAATTGAAAATAATTTATTTTTTTTAAATTTTATACAATCTTCTAACTCACCATCACAACCAACTTCTTCTAATGTAAAAAGATATATGTCATTCTGGATGAATTCACACAAAACTGGTGTTGGATAGTTATCCTTAAGAATTACTGTGCTTAAGTCAATGGAATGATTCTTTAAAAAGACTAACACTTTGTTCATGGATTACAGTTGACTCAGCTAAACCACAGATGCCTAAAGGTTTAAATAATCTTCCCTTTTTTACCAGATGAAACATGGAAGAATTTTAAAGGTATAGTTTCTTTTATAAATGAGAATTAAGCTCATCATCATCATCTTTTTAAAGTCAAGGATGTTACTCTTTCATCTTCAACCCCCTTTCCCAAAAAACCTCCAGTGGGAAAAACTCTTAAAATTAGAATTTACTCTAATTCAGAAGAATATTAATTGATGATCTGTGAATAAATGAGAGCGTTGTCAATCAATTTGCTATCAAAAATGCAGAGGAAATTTAATATAGAATTTTCAAAAAATGAAATCCACAAATTCCCATTACACAGAACAATAAAAATTTTTTTTTAATAATCCGAGTTTGAAGCAAGTTTGAAATTTTGAATCAATACAGGTTTCGAATTTAACACAAGTTTGAATTCAATACAAGTTTGAACTTTGACACAAGTTTTAAATTCAATACAAGTTTGAACTTTGACACAAGTTTTAAATTCAATGCATGAAATGAGTTTGAATTTTGATGAGTTTTAAAATTTTCATAGGTTTTGAATTTTTGAATCAATTTACTAATTTTGAGCCAATAAATATTACATTATTTTCAAATGATGACTTAAAAGATTTATTGCATAGAAATTTAATACCTGGATTTGCCCTAAGGAGTAAACAAAAATTTGGGAAAAAAGGTGGTAAAAGATTAAATTTAAATGTAATTGAAAAATTGAAAGAAATGTTCCTGGCTGGTAATATAGAGAAAAGTAATAAATTCTCACCAGAAGATATGTTGAAACAACTTGAAAAGCATGCTGAAAACAATGAAATAGAAGCTGATAATATTCCCACACTCCAACAAATTAAATCATGGATATCTCGATTTAACCATCATCACAAAAAACAAGCTAGCTCTAATTAATGTAAAATTATTTTTCATATATTAAAATTGTTATTTAATGAAAAAACTGAATATTATATAATAAGAAGTGTTTTTAAATTACCTAAAGTCTTGATTTGGAATAAATTTTTTTATTTTTTTTATTTGTATATAAATATATATAAATATATAAATGTAATTTTAATAATAATAATAAAAATAAATTGTTATTTTAATAATGTACTTTTTATATGCGAATATATTTGTTAAACAAGCAAGTTGAATAAACCACCTATATACCTCCAAGAACACAGTTCTGTCTGAAGTTTTTTTAATGTCACCGGGGCACCTTGTTTTTTCTTTTTATGATTGTAATTACAGAATTGCAGAATTAGAATCCCAATATTTAATGTAATAAATGATGAATGTTACACATAAAAAACATATGAAAATTCCCTAAATCCACAGGTACCGAAGAATATCTATTTTCTTTACTTAACTAAAGGCAATAAAAAAATCATTTATATATTCAAAAATGACTAATCGAATACCTTTGCATGAAAAGTTGTACTATACTTTTGTTCCACTACATAATTTTTTTTTTGATGTGCAGATAAACATATCCCAATGTATCAATTTTCCTCCACCGATCTCTATGTACAACTCTCTCATTTATTCGCAGATCATCAATTAAGATTTATGGGTACTATGCTAGACGTATAACCAATGCCTAGCTGCAATTAATCATGATATAAAAAAAACAAAAATAGAAAACATTTAAGTGACCAATAAATCTGAAAAACTTAAAGACACTAGTCTTAAGTAGGTTCTTGACACAATTTATGACATTAGGGATGCAGTAATGAGGGACCTTTTAAAAAATTATAAGTCAAATATTGCTTTAAAAGGGAAAAACTTTAAATTGAAGTTCATATCTAAAAAGGATAAATAGCCATTCCATTAAGAGATATTTATTTCTTAAGAGATATTGAAGCAAGTGAAGAAATACCTGAAATAAATTATGGCTTTCATCTCACCGCGAATTGTCTTGGTGAATTCTACTTGTGTATCCCCAAACCACTCAAAATTATGGCTGATAACCAAGACCTTAAATTTCAGTGGTTGAAGAGAATAGAAGCACAGTATTATATAGTATTCATAAAATGATCGGATAACATGTGCGGTATTCACTATTACTATTATTATCATCGCTGATGTTTATTAATAATTGCTCCAAGTCTTTTAATAAAATTAGTTGGTGAATTTAATTTTATTCCACTTGAATTTATCATCAAATTAGTTCATGTTGTCTCATGTTTTAGAATTATATTGTTAATAAATTAAGTTAAAAGTGTGAATCAACATTGCTATTAAACGCACATTTATTTATATTATTTATCAACAGCATGCATTGATTTGTATTATTAATAAATTAAGTTAAAAGTTTAACAACATTGTTATTCAACGTGCAATGATCATTGATCTGGTAGATCAACGTTTTCAAAATTTCCTGATGAAGGCTCTTATTTAAATTACAATCTGTTTTGAATCAGATCAAAACTAGATCAGATCTGGTAGACAAAAGTCAGGTGCACTTTTAAACAAAAATTGTACAAGAATGCGCACAATAATAATTAAATGAAAACACCATTTTGCATGCAAATTTAAATTTTCTATCATGTCTAGAAAAATAACTATTAAAAAAATAAAAAATTCGTCCAAAAATATTTGATCAAAATTTAATTTTTTTAATCATTAGTTTAATAAAATGTTAGAGATGTGAAAAT